TGCACAGGCACAACAAAGTCTGCTTCCAGAATCAGGAAGCTCCATCTCTGTGTGCATAGGGGAAGGGGCACTTTTCATTTCAAAACTGAAATAATATCTAAAAAAGCAACAGTAGAATTGGGTTTGCTATTCCAGCAATGGGGTGTGTGTGCTGACATCTTGAGTCCCAACACAAGCGCCCTGGGGTAAAGGTCTTTAACCCGGCTGAACCCCTGCGAGGACAGGAATAAGAGCAGCAGGCCCTCGCCAGGGGACGGTGGCCACGCTGCCACCCCTCTGCCCAGCTCCACCGGACTGCTCCGCTGCAATGGCCTGTCCCAGAGGCGCAGCTCTCCTTGCCAGCCTTACCTTGCTCCATCAGAAACCGCAGGGGACTTCTGTTCCTTGGCTGTACAGCTGCCACGTAAACAGGCTGTGAACACCCAGTAGTGGGACCACAGAGTAGTGTCCCAAAACTCAGCAGTTTTGAGGAACTTTGCCAGGGTTTGTACTGCTCATTTTTTTTCCAGCTACGGAGAGATGGGATCAGAGTTCACATCCGTGATATCTTCTGTGGGGAAAACCAGAAATCACAAGCCCTTTGGAAAAACTGGTTTCCTGGGAGGTAAATGGAGGAGAAAGGCTGGAGACTGGTGAGGAGGAGGCTTTAGACAGAGTGGGGGAATGAACACCTGGAGAGGGCTGGGCAGGAACCGAGGTGTCCCAAGTGACTGATGGGGGCACCACCAGGACAAAGAAGGATGCTGAGGCAGCTTGGTGAGCAGGGACCAGTACCGCAGGGGTATGCAGCGTGTACCAAATAGGGAGGGTTTGTGGGTCACTGGCAGTTTCCAGACCCTGCATTTATTTATTTTTGTCTATTTTAATAATAAAAACTAGCTGTGAGGAGCGAAGAAAAGAGGAATAAACATTTTGGCTAATAAGAACAAACCTTTCAAATGCTGTGGGGGCATGAAGCAGGGGTGCAAGTTTTACGTATCAAACCCAAGATCGGATAAAAGCAACCAACAGACGAGAATGGCAAGGAGCGCCAGCACTGGCAGCAGCAAGCTCCCCAAAACAAGAACGTACATTTTCCTTTGAGAAGGGGGGAAGAAGGGTGTGGAGGTGTGGGGAGGGAGCAAGTGATTCTGTACAAAATTGCTGCTTCTCAGTGTTTGGGAGAGGTTAAAAATATCCCCAGAAAAAGTTTCTGATGTGGCTGCAGAATGTGTGTAAAAACATTAGAATTTTTCTATCCCAATTAACTATGAAAATCAGAGAAACAAAGCCAGTCCGTTAACTGACGACTGTGATGGTGGGGAAGGGGAATAAACACCTGACATGGAGGATGTGATGTTCGTCGATGCAACAGAAAAACAGCAGGAAGAATACTGTAAGCCCTGTAAGTTTTAAAACTTTATTTCAAATTACCCATGGTTTCCTTTTATATTATAAATGTGCTAGAAGTTCACACTACTGGCAGAATACAGGCAATTTAAAATAAAGTAGACAATATTCAGACACATTTATATGTAACAGACTTAGAAATTATGGAATGTATTTACAGACATACAGCACGGGATGAAGCTTTAAAATCCTTTACTCTATTAATTACACGTTTACACTGTTTTCAGAAATAACAAAATTAGAATCGCTTTGTAAAACATCACAATATCTATACAAAAGAATTTTTTTAGATGTCCAAATTCACCTTAAAAGTCCTCTGTTTCTAAAACATTTTTTCAAAGAACCATTTATAGTCATAAAAGGATAAAAATACCATTTGCCATCGGGTCACTACCAAGAACAACAGAGGTGTTCTCAGCACTGGAAGTTGTCTCCGATTTATTTTAAGCAGCCCACTGAGGTGGGGGCCGTATGAAAGCCTCCCCCTTCACAAGGGGGAAGCCCCAAACCCCGGCTGTTTTGCCCCGATCCCCGCAATGCCATCAGGGACTCCCGAGCGCCCGCGCCGCTTGGTGTCCAGTGCGGAACCCTGCCGAGCCTCAGACGCTGCTCGGTGCTCCACACAGTCCAAGGAAGGACAGTGACACAAGGGAGTCAGTGTGTAAACGCTCGGGTGGATTCCTCCCACATCCTTCAGCACAAATGCCCCAGAGAGGAAAGACAATTGCCTCTTTGCTTTAACACACAAAATAGAATTTTACACGTTTTCTTTAAAATATTTTTTTCCTGGGATACAACAAAAATTGCACATAAATACACCAAAAAAATCCCAACCCACTTTGCAAAAGAGAACTGACCTTATTTTTAGTATAACACATTAAATAAACCATATGATGAAACTTCAGGTTTGGATTTTTGTTCTAAACGTCTGGTCAAGATTTAGTGTTTGCCAGCGTGAAAACACAGGATTATAAACATCACACTAAGATGATCGCGCATATTGAAACTGCCAGAGTGAACCATTGCTTAGAACAGTGAGTGACGCTGAGGACACGCTGCCCGCCCAGACGTGCAACCATTGCTCCCGACACGGACTCAGCACGTGCACCGCTCGTACAGAAGCATGGCAGTGTTAACCAGACACGATAGGAAATGGCCATTTCTTGCAGTTCAGGCTCAACTCCCCACCCTGTTAATTACTAAAAACTAGTATTAATGAAATGTCAAACTTCCACCAACCTGAAGACTGTTAAGTTTCATTTTCCCCAAGTGCTGGAAGCTGGACTGGAGTGAACACCACACCCTCACAATTCCTTGAAGGGAATGGTTTTCTTAGAATGGGAAGATTTAAACAGTCCATGAAGGTCGTGCTATGAAAAAGTAACACGTCCTGATAACAATACAAGTGACCTAATGTTGAAGACTAAGGTGAAGTCAGTGCCCCCCTCTTTCAAATTGTGTGCAGACACAAACGTACGAGAAGCATTTGTGGTCTGTACTGTTGGCTGCGAGTGGCAATCCTCCACTTGGCAAACAACAGCAGAGACTTCAGACACTTTTATGCAATCATTTAACAATTACCAACACTTTAAGTGAAACACAAGAGCAGCTACTTAAGGAGGAAAGTACGTCTGTAGGGAGCTGCTCTCTTCCTACATGTATTGCAAATTATTGGCATTTTCATTTCTTGCAGGGCTGAGGGCAATGTGGTTACCCAGTATGAAAAAGCTTCTTTTTTCAGCTGTGCAGTTTTAAATACCCTCCAGGTGTTCTTCTCCATTTGCAGCGTGATCAACCAATGCCAATAAGAAGCAACTGGAATAATTATGTGAAATAAGGGATTCGACAGTCACCGCAATGGACCTTGAAAGAAATACATGAAGCAAAACGGAGCGGAAATAAAACTGCGAAGCAAAACGGAGCTGAAACAAAACTGCAAATCAAAAGGGGAAAAATGCAGCAAAGACCAGTCCTTGCCCCTGTCTCTCAGGGCAGGTTTTCTTCAGCAAGAATGACTTTTAGCTAGCCTGCTCCCATTTCTCCTCCTTCCTTTATCCCCATGAAATCCCCTTGGTGTATTCTGCTTCCAATATATCCCCAGATGCAACACCTCTGATGCCTGAAGTTGGCCTTGGACCCCATGCAACATGCATTAGTAGCATAATGTTCCAGATGTTTTAAATTGGCCAAAACCTAACAAAGGAACTGCATGGGTGCAGAACTGGATTTTGCAAGGCCTTTCTTGGGGCGGGGGGGGGAAAATTGGAACTGATCTGGTAGAGAGCTTGGCCTTGTCACTAGGACCACAGAGAGCTAGTCTTTGTTTTGCAGGTCAATTTTCCAGCAAAATGAAAAACTTGTTGGCTCCCATTCCTGTATATTGAATTTCCATTTATATGTTAAGGAAAGAGGAAGGAATTAATGGTAGCTCTGTAAAACCAGCACATCTCTACATAAACTCCAACGATAAAAGGCTTTATTTATTAAAGCCTCACTAAACCCACAACTAGGAGCTACCTTTTGCAACAGATTGCTGCTTTGGCAACATGCAGCCAACCTCTGGAAATTCAGTAATTATGTTCTTAAAATGTGTCTCAGTGGCTGGAACACTCACCTGTATTGGCATGTGTGCACGGGATAATTCAGCCCCTAATAAATGTATTATTTAATAATGGGTTTCTAATGATTAGCATGGCAGGCTGTAATTCTTCACACTGCAGTGAAAACATAGACATGGTTCTTGATGACATCTAGTCATCGTTTGACTAAACCACTGAGTAACCGAACGCATCCCTACATGACCAGAAGGGGAGGTGAGGGGAGGTAGGAGATTTGCCTCCACTGATGTTGGAAACATTTTTGGATAAAGACATGTTAAAACCCAAACAGAAAGTGAACCCAGCAAGAATGCTAATGCGATTAATACAGTTTGAGCAGTTCTGATTTAGTATCTTTTAATTAGGATGTTTCTTGTAGAGAAAACATGCAGTATTTTTTCCCTTCGGGGGAAAAAAAAAATCAGTTTTCTTTTTCCTTCAAATTTTAAGTAATGAGGACATGCCAACACAAGTTGCAGCTGCATAAGGTTCGACTCCGTTATCAAACACTGCAGGTTAAGAGCGTGGGTTGCAATTTTTTTTATATGTAATAGAAATAGGTGGTGTTCTTTCAAGGCAAAGAAATTGCCTTTCTTTGAACCATGTGGGGAAGGAAATAAATTTCATTCCCTATGCACCCACTGCAGCAACATCCTTTTTTTTTAAGAAACAAATTCCCCTAGGAATGGCTTTCCAAACTCTACACCCATGTCTTCAGTCGACAAGGTCAGTTTCTACAGCTGGCCCCAACAGCCAGCCACTGGCATTCCCTGCCCTCCTCCCAATGAACTCTCTCTTTTAAATAAGGGGCAAAAATATTGATAATAAAAATGTTATTGGAAACTGTTGTGATCTCCAAAAAAAATGGAGCAATGAAGTAAAACATTCCTGTCAGGAATCATTGAAACTCATTTCCTTAGAACAGAGCTCTGTGTGTTTGGATGTACTGCATGGGCAGTAACGTCTTCATGTCCTTCTGCTTAGCCAAGGTAACCCAAAAGGTCCTGGAGGTCTTTACACAGCAGACAAGTGGTGAAGTTGCTGCTGCTTTGGGGGTGCCAGCTCCAGGAGCGCCTGGACAGTCACAGCTACCTGTGTCAAACCCTTCTCTTCTAAAATATGTAGAGGCAAACATAATTGCTCCTGAATGGGGAACAAAAAGACAAAAACAAAATGGATGAAAAACACTCAACTGAAAAGAAAAAAAAAATTAAACAAAAGGTGACTGAACTATGAAATGTTATGGACAGGTAGCACACACACACAGAGGTATGAAATGAAATTTCTGCTTGTGACTAAAGAACCGTGAACATGACTACTCAAAGGAGGAGGCCTTGGGTAATCCTTGTTTTTATTAGAAAATCGTACAAGTAAGAATTTGAAAAAGGATTGTGGGAGAAGTGGGGAACAGCAAATTGCCCTGTATCTCTGCCCACACTGAAATGGCAGCAGTTGATGAAATCAAAAGTAGATGAACTTACGGAGAAGGAAAAGCTTTGCTTCAACATGATGAACCTGTGACAACAGAGTAGGAAAGGAACCACACCTTCCTTTCCAAAACACAACTGCCTTTTTGAGGGAGTCCTTGTGTAGCAAGCCTGTTTAGCTATCAAACGTGAAGAAAAGACTCGCTTTAAAGTGAAGAATGAAACACTAGTGTGTGCTATGGAAACACTGTGCGACGAGTCTAAGAGGAAACGTCATACTTAAAAGCAATTTTCATCTCATGAGACACACTGCCCATCTGAAGTCCTTCTGTCTGTATGTGCTGATCTCTGTCCTTACAAAAATTCCTTGGAAAGCACGAAAAAGCAGAAAGAACAAGTTGGTTTAAGGAAAAAAACAAACCCCAACAACTTGCTTCTATGTATGGCAGAAAGAACAAGTTGGTTTAAGGAAAAAAAAAAACCCAACAACTTGCTTCTATGTATAACTGAAATAACCTCACTAATAAATATAGAAAATGCCATTTCTCCTGTTCAAGGCAATGAGAAATTGACAGTATATTTAGAGGCAAATATCCATCCAATGTTATGTGTGAGTCACTACCAGTTATTTATCTTCCAAAAGCACACCCGCTTAGCAGGTAACTTCCAAAGTAATTCTAAGGAATAAGAGTAATACGCACAATGCAAAAAAGAGGTTTCAAAGAGTTTATTAATAATTGTGCTATTCTCAGTCTAAGATGGATTTAAAGCCTCATCCTACGTAAGTCCTTGGCACACCCTGGCCATCCTCACTCCGCAAAAGTCAGGATACATGTCCAACAGTTCTCTGTATCTGTGGAAAATAACCGAAGTGTGTCCTTCCTATACAGCTACAGAGATTATTCTTCACGTGTTATTTCCACAGCAACCTGCATTTCTCCGCTCTTTGAATCTTTACTGATTTTTGATATTAAAGAAATCTTTCAGCATAAACAGTGGCAACCAACACTCCTCCCGCAAAGCTCAGAGCGGAGAGAAAACAAATGAACCCAGACTGAAATTCTCATAGTAAGCCATATGATCAGGCTGAAATGCACTTTTCTTTCTTCCAGCAATTTTATGTTATCTTGAAAAGTGTGCTTTTTGAGAAAATACTCGTAAACTTGAGCAAACATGCCTTATCTTTTTTCTTATGTAAGCAAATAGATAAGGGGAAAAGCTTTGGAATGACTCCATACCACAGACAGTCATATGACAAACAAACTTTAAAAACTGGAAGGCACTGTTAGTGTAAAACCCCTTGCAGCTTTTATCACAGTGTTCATTAGAAGAAGTTAAAAAACATAGGAACTGAGCTCATTTTAGTTCATACCAGTAAGCAGTGCAAAAATAGCTTATTTAAACATAAAACAATCTCCCCCCTGTCAAAGGTCCCCTCTTTCCTCAAAAATGTTTTGCTTGGACAGAACACTTTGTGTGATTTGGAAAGAGGGCATTGACTCCTCTACTTGCTCCTTTGTTACATACTCACTTTACGTTACAATAGCTTGTGAGATCCATGTACACATAACACATTTTTACTGGTAGCAACCACATTTGCAACTGAACTCCTGTGTATCTTAAACTGTGCTTCAGAGTTGTTGCCAGGTTAACTCTGGAATGCTAACACCACTTAAACTGGGCTTGCAAGCCATTTACCGTATTTTCAGATGTAACAAATTTATTGAAAACACATTTGGAACAGCTATTTTACTTCACACTTACCTGTCACTGGTCTCTGAGCAGAGTTCCCTGAATCAATCTACACTCTGAGGAGACATGGTCTTTTGCACATCACATGGGAAGTGAATCCCCTGAAGTCCTGAGGTGTCCCTGAGACATTAAAGCATTAAAGCACCAGGATGCTTTTCCTGGGGAGGGAAAAGCTTTGAAGCTTTACAGAAGACTACCTGAGTTTTGTAAAACAGTGAAGACTGATCGTGCAGCTGGGACTTATATTGCTGCAATTGTATGTTACCACAGTCTCTGAAAATAAGAGGAAGAAGGGAATAAGCATGGAACAAGCACGGGCTGGGGTGCCCACCATCAAGCGGCAACTCGAGAAGTTTTTGTTAACTTTTATCCAGAGCACAGTAAAATGCTATGGCAGTCCGTGGCATCTGACAGAATCTTAAAATATTTTTTTCTGTCTGTGCCACAAAACTTTTTTCTCAAAGCTGTTGAAGAGCTCAATTTCTCTGAAAATTTCCTACTTGATCTATTACAAAGCTCAAGTAGCTCGGGATTCACTGACAGTTATGTTAAAAATCCTGACTCAAAGTAATACACCAGAGTCTACAAATACAGGAAATCAAATGCTCAGACTAAGGGACTGGGGGTATGAAAAAACCACTATCAGTTACAAAGTCCTGTGGACAAAACTTACCAGACCACGTCTCCTAAGACTGTGAGATCTCATCAAGAACATTGACATTGAAAAAAATACTTTGCATTCTTTAACATTTTTCATCAGATAATCCTCAAGCAATTTACCAAAGCGGGTGCAATTCCCATTATACAGATGTAGAAACTGAGGCATAATCTGTCAACACAGTTTTCCCAGTACTGCATCACTCGTCAGCAGATATAGCATGCACTCACATGTCCTAACCTCAGTCCCTCGCTCTAGCCCACGGACAGTGCTTCCTCCCTTGTAAAAGCATATCTGCTAAACACAACATAGCAAATACAAATGTGAATTATGCCACAGATAGTTGTGTGGGTGCACCAATGTGTTTACACATCGTACTTGTCACCTCTGTCCCATCGGTGGGAAAGAAAGCACTTCATACACACAGTCTTGACAAAAACCAAAATCTTCTCCCAAGCACCGGAGTGATGGAGGGAGGAAGCAGCAACACTATCCTTCAGCTAGAGAAAAAAGACCCAGCGATAGAACATACAGAGTGTTAGCATTAGAGTACAGTAAAACACCACAAAGCCCCAGAGCTGAATGGAAAGGGAGACAAGACTGGATTCTTCTGAATCTGTCCCCAGGGAAAGAAGAGTCTCAACTGTTCTTTTAACGCTGAGGTTTAGCTGAAGAATGTCAGAAGGGGAACAAAGATTGTCCTGTCCAGAGTGTGTAAGCAGGAAGGGAAAACAGACAGAAAAAAAAGGTCAGTCAGTTAGCCATAGCAACATCCACGAAGCAGTCAGTCATCAGACATCTCAGATACAACCTATATGTTTGAGAAGCGTATCACAGCTGGTTAATTCTCACAATCTGCAAGACTCCCATTGCAAAGAACTCACTTAATGCAAATACTTAGTGTTCAGTGAGGTGTCTGTCACCTGTACAGCTTAAACATACAACAATCTTTGTTAAAAACATAGCAGATTACACACACCTTAGTGAAAACCATTTTTCTCCAGGGGAAATGAAGAGGCTATGGGTTTCTAAGATGCTGTTGGCACCAAGTACTCAAAGCTAAGTCTCTGCATGTATCTTAGTTAATGAAAACAACAGGACAAGGGCTTATTTATATGTAACTGTTGCTTGAATGCAGTATCCTGCAGAAATATCTATTACTAATTTGAGTTTAAGTGTTCTGTAACTATTCCCACTGTGCATCTTTTCCCTCCCTTTCATACAGGTAACTGCTGCAAATCAGTGAAATCTAGATGCACATATCAATCTGTTCAACTGTCGGTTTCTTTTGATGAAAGGGCTTTAACTAGCAAAGTCCTATAGAAGTGGCTGCTCCACTGTGGTGCCTGTAATGAGCATTTTCTAAAAGTAGCCTTCCTCTTAGAAGGTAAGTATTTCTACATAGATCCATACTTTCAGAAAGCCTTTTATTTTTGTGATTAGAATTTAAATGAAAGGAAATACCTGCAGGCATCTTTTCAAGAAAAATACACTAGGCTGCCACGCCATTCTTGCATACAGATATCTTATGTTCACATCTCAGGAGATATGTAATGTAGACGTGTGAGAGCAACTTTAGAATTCAGGTGGGGGTATTTCCCCAAGTTTCCCCAGAGACACTCTCCTTGAACTTTTTCACATTAAAGCAAGAAATATGAGAAAAACAGGAGGGTCCTAGACAGTAGGTGCAGCAGATATAGCAGACTGGGTCTAGAGGGGACTTTTTCTTGAGCGGCTTTTTTGTTTGTTTTTAAATGTGGGTAATTTCAGTGATTTGCTCTGTACTGCAATCCCATAAAAGTTACATCTTCATATCTGAGGGAGCTGTAAATAGGGAAGCTGAGATGGAACTGAACAATTTCACCCCAGATGAATTTATATTGTGCAGTTCTGCTGGGAGGAAAAGTCTAAAGTTTCTTAGGGGACCAAAACTGTGCAGGATCTCCAAGTACTAACAGTCACTTACAACTCCCTATCACATTCCAACGCAATTCACTACTGAGTCATGTGAAATTGCCAGGCAGCAAAATAAATATGCTATACTAAAATACCAATGGCTCAAATGGCTGCAAGTGAAGCTATCTGAAAACACCAGAAAATACTGTATGACTGACTTGAGAGCACTGCTTTTAGAAATAGCTGGGAAATGAGTCACTGGGTCTACTTTTCCATTTCACAATACAAAGGAAAGAACACAGCACCTACAACAGAAACACTAATGCTGAGCAGTATAAGAAACCAAATCAATTAATGCACTAGAAGAAAAATTAAGAAAAACATGATGTATGAAAAGTATGTGTACTGAGACAGCTGCTGAATAAGCCATAGTGGAAAGGACAGGACAGCATAAAACAGGATAACCAGACTCAGCTGGGCTATTTTATATGTTCCCACCTCCTAGCCCTTCCAAGCTTCAAAAGAGAACATGGAATAGCAGAAGATAGGCTTCTACCACTGGCACGTAACAAAAGGATTAGGATCTATGCAAAGGTAGCTACCATCAGAGAAAGGCCAATAATACTGCGACTTGTTGGTAAGACAGTAAAGATGTTCACATAAGAGAATTATTTTGAAGGAACATGAAAAGCTTAGGGATAAAAATAACACATGCAACACATCATCCAAATTTTATTCCACTGTTAAGCTGTCAAATATCTAATCTTGAGAAAATGTAATTGTTTTAATAGAAATACCTTGCAGTTCTAAAAGCATACTCGAACTGCATCAGCTATTATGAATTTGAGGCACAGCAGTACGTGAATCAGACCTCCGATAAACTATATCTGACTTCATTTTACTCTGGAAGACAATGCAAGATAAGTCTGATCTATACTGTGAGACATAGCTTATACCTGAACCTTCTAAACTTTTAATAATTTTGTTTTCATCAAATCTTTCAAATAAGGTTTTATTTTCTGAAGCATCATACAAAACTGCACCTGAAATAATGTATCAAGATAGTAGAAATACGTACCTGAGGCACTCCAATCCTTCTGCAAGCTTCCAAAAAATTCTCCACGTTTCGTCTGCATTTTGCCATTGTAAGCTTAGGCTGCAAAGAAGTAAAGGAGGCAGATATACAGTGTTCTTAATTGGCAGGATTTTAAAAGATCTTTATTTTTTATTTAAATAGAACTCTTCATAAATCTCTTTGCCAAAAACATACTGCACAGACATAAGCTTGTCTAATTCAAAGCAGCCTCTGTTGTAATTTACTTTTCTCTAGAAAAGCAAGCCCAAATTTCAAAGCTATTTTATGAAAAGCTAATTTATGAATGCTGGATGTTCTCTTTAAAAAAGACAGTTCCAAGCTGTGCAATATTTATATACAAGGTGTTACATAAAACTGGCTAACACTTTTAATGACTACAGTATAATAATTTTAAAAATATATTTTGAGTGAAACACACATGCATGGCTTTCATGCTGTGATTTCAGAGCAATTTCATGATACGAAGCAATCTAGAGTCTGTTTTGGATTACTACAATACAAAATATATAAATATCAAACCATATTTCAATTAAACTGATAAAAAAATGAAGGCTAGATGAAACCAGGAAAGAATGGAAGAAAAATGGAATTGAAGCTTGCTGCTTGTAAGCCTCTTGTCAATGTGTTTGATGTAGCTGTTTGAATTGCACTCACTGGCATTTTTTCAAGCAAGCTTTTTTCTGCAGTTAGCTTTCACACCTCTACACAGACATACCACGGCACAGGCTCTGTCTTGTTTCTATTCTTGAAGCTTATTCTTTTCTGGTTAAAGAGACACAAGCTTGTTGCTCCTCTGAACAAGCTACCCACAGCCTACGTAGCAGCAGGCAGCAGCCTCCGTGGGTTCTATACTTCTGTCTGCTCCATCCCCTCAACGTGCCATATTTCCCCACCAAGAAAGCAAGTTAAAGGCTAGCACTGACTTTCTCCCGAAGGATGAGGAGAATACAAAGATCACATTGTGACTGAGGAATGACATGATGCCTCTTCTGCTCCTGGAGCTGTGCAGCTAAAGGCTGTCTCTTCCTTGGGGTTTATATGACAAAGCCATGATTTAATCCCTATCACAGAATATTCAACAGCACACAAAACCAGGCCATTGAAAAGATATTCTCAATGACGCAAGTCTTCTGAATAGCGGCTGTATGCCTTTTCTCTTAATGAATCCACAATCTGCCTAAAATGTTGGCATGTCCAGCTCAATCGTTCTCAAAATAATGAGGGCATCTGCTTGTTCACATTAACTCCAAGGGAGAGGAACCACAATGATACAGTAGGCAGTCCTGTAAGTGCCAGTTCAAATTCCAACCAACACAAAGACTGACTCCAAAATAAGGAAAAGCAAACACAACATGCATGCTTCAACAACTTCTCCCTGGAAAAAACTTCAGGTTTTGTTCCTTATTCATACAATTTAAAGGTGCATAACAAGCAAACTGCCTCTCCATACTACTTTTAAGTAGCTGACACTAAATATTTTCACTGAACTTTGACTTCCACAAATACAGATTAGGTAAATAATTTGTCATAATTTCATAGTCCTTGACCTTTCTCTAAT